TGATGAGACTTAGGGAGCAGTTGTTTTTTCTTGTAGATCCTGGCAGGAGAGAAATGCCCATAATATCCACTAAAGGCTAATCTAGTTTATGAATTTGATTTCCCTCCATTCATCTTCATCATCATAGTCATAAGTGTTAGCCTTCACATTTATAGAACATTTTTCATGTATCACAGAACATATTTTTTAAGCAAAATACATATAAGAATTATGTTATGCTTATTGTTATCATATCTATTCACACAGTGCCTATCAAACTTTAATGTATATACTCATCACCTGGAAAACTTTTAAGAGTGCAGACCCTGACAAAGGCTGAAATTGGACCTGGTAATTGTATTTCTATGAAATTCCCACGTGAAGCTAATTTTGCTTATCTGTAGACCCCCTCTTCTCTACTAGGGATGTAATGCTTACTAAGTGTTTATCACGCTCCAAGTGCTCTCAACACATAATTAATTTGGAAGGAAAGCAGGTAAAAGGTGTGACACCTGTTTGGGATTTGAGAAAATTAGGAACACTGAATATAAACTGATTCCTCTGACTTTTAGACTCCTATATTGTCTATTCTACCACTTTGAATTTTTAAAAACCTCTGCTCTACAAAGGCAGAAAGCCATTAGTTTATGATATTCTTCATAATTCAACTCCATCAAGGTGAAAAAAATATATATATATATAGTTTTCTTCCTAAATAAAAAGCCAGAAAACAGTTCTTTTCAATATTACCATAAATATTGCAGCCTCTACTTACATAGAAACCAAATGGACAACAGATTTTTCATGCTTCCATTTCTTTGCCCATCTGTTAAAACTTAATATATTTAGCTACACTATACATTCATGGTCTAATGCATTTTATCCTTGCAGATTCTGTGACATTGAAACTCTACCCCCTTGCTTTAGTGGAAAGCCTCATTTTCTATTCCTGGAGCAAGCAGCATTCCATCTGACATTTGATGCCCATGAGATTTTTATAGAATCTAGGTTATAAGATTGAGTCTCTGGACACATATTTTTGAACAGGGATCTGTATTACTTTTCTCAGAGGTGTTCTACCTTATACTTTGGTTTGATTTTGGTTTTGATTATTTCTTAAAAGCATCTAGTGAATAAAACCTTTTGCATAATAATCACTGTTGACTACTGAGATTTTTATTTGTTAAAAATAATTTACTCAGAGGAACAGACAAGAATATGAAGGTTCTCTCCTACCCTTAATTCACAGCAGTATTATAATGATGTAGTGGGAAAAAATGGTTCCTACCATAAATTTCATGAGAAGTAAAAATTTTTGCTTAAAAACGAAATGAATAAATATGTATAAATTAATGGTACAGATGACTTAATGCAAGGGTTTTAGCTCAAATTCAACTCACCAAGAGTTGCTTTTCTGATCATCCTAACACAAAGATGTGCATTCAATTACTTGTTTTTACAAATTATACAATAGTCAGTTTGATGAATTTATTGATTGTAGACTCAACTGAATTATTCTCAAAGAAAAACTAATGGTAGGATGTTTGGTGTCTTGAAAATAAAATGTGTCCAACTGTAATTGTTACTTAAACTTTATATTTAACATATACTTATAATAGCTAAAGAATATTTACTTTGTTTCTGTCTATACATACTGTCCAAAATTATGTGTTTAACATAAAACTTGATTGAAATTAGTGCTATCTCTGATGTAGTATAAAATATTTAAAAATACACATTATCATAGAGTGATCCTACTCTAAATTACTGTATCCCCATAGTAATTGTTTCTTTCATTTCAGAATTTGTTCTTCTACCATGTAGGGTCTGACACTTTATATGTGCACAAATAAAACATACATAGGAAAAAACAGTAATGTTCAGTGGCTGAAGCAAATGAGAATGATCTTTAAGCAAATCATAAAAAACAATAAAATAAAAAAGAATAATGAAGGGAGCTAATATTGGGCAAGCATTTCCTAACAAGTACTGTGCCAAGCATATATTAATATTGTTTTGTTTAATCATCACAAAAATATTGTGAGGTAGGCTGTATCTTATTTCCTTAGAAAAGTGAGATTTTATGGAATGACTTCCCAAAATAACACAAGTAGTAAATATTAGAGCTCACACTTTGATATTTGTGGCTCGAATCCACAAATACTATATTATTTTTACAAGTATATTATACATATACAAAATAGTAGGATTAGGTGTAATATAGTTGTAGATACACATAATATAATTTTGTCAATTTCATTGCCCCTTACTTCCTCATTACATTCTTTCCATCCATTAAATTCAGTTTAGAACTTGCTTTTGTACAAAAATAAGACTCAACTCTTAAGCACACTATACATACCCATACTACTTAAAATTTTTTGAATTTTAATTTTACAATAATGTTATATGAGTGCTTATTTCTATTATTCAATACTTATTTTTATAAATTCTTGCCATTTCTAGGTAAAATTAATCTTATTTCAGTTTGTGCATTGTCTCAACCATTATCACTACCATGTAATTATCATTGTCATTGATATTATGAGATATAATAGTAACTAAGGAATTACTGAGATCTGGTCATTGTGCCAAATCGTGCACCTCTAGATTATCGCAATCATTCCTTACTGGTCATAAATCATTGATTTTTGGGGGGAGGCCACATTAAGCCAGGCATGGTATGTCCAATGTTTGAAAAGTCATTAACCTGTGAAACAATATTATAGGTATATTTTGAAGCAATTTTATTACTTTATTAAAGGCAGTATTTCCAAGAAAACTTGAAAGTGAAACAAGTTTTTGTCAGCATTTTCCTTAAATATTACACTGGGAAAGATGTTCATGTCAAATTTTATAGGTTGGTTCTGTTAAAATGAAAAAATTACTTTTTTTCATTTTGCCAAATGAATTTTCTTATAAGACCATGTAGAGTCAACATTTGGGTTTTAGAAGGCGAAATCTGTTTAATTTGACAAACAAGAAACAAAGAGATCCAAAATAGTGATGCATCCTTCATGACAAATTTTCATTTTTATGTGGCCCTTGTTATTGTTTTTCTTCAGAATGAGTTTGAGTTTTCATAAAATACCTACTGACACACCAATACTTATATAGTCCTCAGAATATGTGTAAGTTGGTTAAAGTATTATTATATCTGTGTCAAATATTACTTCCTGTAGGTTGTTATTTATTGCACATTGACACCATTTAGTCAATTCACTAATAATGTTTATATTTTGACACTTTTTCTATCAAGAAACGCATGAAAGTGTACCTAAAGCTCCTGAGGCTTTAGCTACTGGCTTCACACTGCTTTCACTTCAGATGAGGGTATCAGCAGGATATTTCAAAGCTTCTTTCTGTTTCTTGGTTTTTATAGGGTTCTTCTTCCCTCTCAGAACTCTTTGTTATTTTAAGTCGTGGACATGGTTTAGTTTATTTTTTATTTTAAACTACAAATCTAAATAAATTGATAATTAAGACAGGAATATTGATTTTCATTTGTTTAGTTTTTATGATATTTGTTATTGTTCTCTGCTTGGAACTGATGTTTATGTGATATTACAATCCTGATGTTACTTTGCTCTGAAGTTGATTTAATGTACAAAATCTTATAAAGTTGTTATTCTAGCCATAGTCATCTGGCTCATTTGAAATGAGAGTAGTAAATATTTTTTTATATGAAGGATCTTTAATTAGAAGTAACTCAAGACTTCCTTTAGTAGAATATTGTAATAACTCCTCAGTGACCAATTAAAACTAAAATTTGTATCATCAACAATAGAAATATTCTCTAATTGCTAGTTTCCATAATCAATTCTTTTAAAATGACATTGCTGATAGAATTAGAATAATTCACATGTCTGTTTAAAACGAAATAGAATCACATACTTTTATTATTTAAATAAAAGTATTATTTTCTACTTATATGCATTTCTTGCAAATTCTATCATGTATCAGAGAGCCACATACAGCTGTTGCCATCATTTGTAAGGAGAAGTGATTATAATGTTTAAGTGAAGTAAAACTAATCCTGAAAAATTACAAAATTCTATGTTCAAGAATTAAAAATGTTGCTCCTTTTCTTAAAGTTTATTAATAAGCAAATGTTTTATTAGAACACTAATTGTAAAACTTGGAAAAGAGTGTTCTCAGAGCAAAATTTTTTCAACATCTCTTTTCCTTTTCTTAAATGACAAATAACATTTTAAAAATATCTTGATCAAGCTTTTAAAAGTAATTGCTTAAGCAGTACATGCTTTTATTAGGCTCAACAAATACAAGTATGATTTGTCAATATTATGAAATGTAGCCAAAGCTACATTTACATTAAATTTATAGTAAATCAGAATTATCAAGTTATTAGATTATATTAAAATAGAAATATCAATTCAAAGAAATCTTCCAATTTGCTCATTTAATAAACACAGGTGGCTGATACACATTTACAAAGTTGATTTATATTTATAAAACACAGTTAAAAGTATCTTTTAAAACATTATTTAATAATCATATTTGATTAGAAGAAGACACCAAATTTCAGGGTCTCACTTGACATTCTTCTTTGAAAGTTAATAAAGGAGAGTAATTTACAATTTGTATCCTTATTTGTTTGCATTCTTTTTTCTAGAATCACTGGGAAAGGGTAGATCCAAGATATTAAAAAGGATGGTCTTATATCTAGTCTGTGTGTGCTGTGTGTTTTTAAATATCAGAATGACAGCTATCTATGTATCTAACATTGACTTACTAATATTAACTCCTTGAAAAAAAATATGTTCAGGATGAGAATTACTTAGCGTGAGAGTTTCTGAGGCTAACAGCTTTTGGGGGCAAGGGTTAGCAGTGTCTTGAAAACTAGTAAGATAGAGCTTATGAGTGTCAAAATGAATACTGGCTCGTTTTCTGGGATCAAGAGGAACTGGGAAGGGGCAGCAGTCATCAGTAAGTCTGTTCTTTGTGAGCTACTTTACAGTCCCTTCTATTGTAAATGTGTCTATTTCTGTCTTGTCTTCCAGTCCTCCACAAGCAACCCCGAGAAGTTTGTCTCTGTTTGCTAGAGCTTGGCCGGATTGCAGCCAGGTAAGTCAAACAACTGCTACTGTGTTGAGACCTAGCCTGACTCCTCTATGGATAGAGGTTGCTATGGACATCTTGAGAGCAGTTGTTCAAACTACAAGCATGCCACCAAGGTTCTTTACATCACAATCTTGTTGTCAAAGATGCTATGTGTAAGCATTTGCAAATATACTTGAATCAAACACGTTTTCCATTTAAAGCTTACTTAAGGGGATTGTGGAGGAGGATCTAGTACAGTGAAGTTCCATATGGCATGTGTCTGTTCTTAGAAGAAAGTCTGTCTATTCCTGACTTCTCTTGTTTTCTACTCCTTTCTACCATTGCTGGTTGTTTACTCCTTAATAATTGCAGCTTCTGTTTCTTCTTCATTTTCCTCTATTCCCCCATTCAACATCACCTCCCTCAGCTCTTTTAGTTTCCATATTTGAAATAGCTTTTAAAATTATTCTCTACGACTTTTTCTTTTGGGGGTGGTGAGCACTGGGTGGAAATTGAACCCTGGAGCACTCCACCACAGAATTACATCCTCAGTCTTTAAAAAAATTATTATTATTATTATTATTATTATTATCATTTTAATTTTGAGACAGAGTCTTACTAGTTTACTGAGGCTGGCCTTCAAATTGAAATCCTCTTGCCTTAGCCTCCCAAGTTTCTGGGATCATAGATGTGCACAATGATACCCATCTTTCTCTATGTTTTTACAGAAGAAAGGCTTGTAGGATACCATTCATATTTATATATAGATATTTTCTTCTCCTAGAAGAAAAAATTTAACTATAGCCACCATAGCAAATAAGCAGAGGTAGGGACCTAAGCTGACTTGTTTGGGTTTCATGTTTTTCCATTGATTATCTTGCCAATCAGACAGGGCTTTTGAGAGTCCTATGAAACTCAAAGAATGAGAAATGAAGATTTACATATTCAAAGAGGTCTTGATGAAAAATAAAAGCCAGAATTAATTAGAAGATGTTTTCTGGTCTAAATCTGGATATACTGTTGGAGGTAGGATTTGGTGAACCATTAAAATACAGTGAGAGATAGCCCTGAATGTACATTTTCACATGAGGAATTTATGTAAAAAATCAAGGAAAAGAAAATATAGCATGTGCAAATCAGTTAATTATAGCATGGATAGAAAACTTACTGCTAACAAATAGATATTTTTTTTCTGATTCTCTGCTTGTTATCCAATAATAAATTAACCTGTAATCAGAAGTAATTCCAAGTTCTTTAAATCATCATAGTCAATATTATTTTAAAGAAGTGTGCAACAGTTGTGAAGTTTATTTCACTGCAATAGTTTAATAAAGATTTAATAATTGGTTAAGTGTTGCTTTAATGCTTTTAAATTCAATCTACATATTACTCTCACCCAATATGGAGTTAAAAAGTCCATTTGAGTTGAGGTTTTGCTAAGGGATTTCCCTACTCTCCATCACACCCTTCTCTGATAATTGGGCAATGACCTCCAGGGAGATGCCCTAGTCCATGGTCAAGTGTGTTCAAGCTTGGGTGCCTGGCTGTTTTTAAGACCTCTTCCCCTTGAATGCTGCCACATCCTTGAATTCTGTGAAGAAGCAGGGTCAAGGCAGTGCTGTTCCTGCATCCCTGACAGATGCTTTCCACCAAAAGGCTGGGGACTCTCCTCTGCAGGAAAAACAGCCTTGAGTCTAAGGAGAACCCAGGACTCAGCAGCTATCCCCTCAGAAAGGGGAAGCTAAAAATACCCGAGAACACTAGACATGAAATAAAATCACAATGAATCAGCATCTGCCACTGAAATGCTCTAGTAAAAGAAACTTTGATGGTCCAGATGTCCTATTTAATAGGACATTCTTAGCTTTAGTTATGCCATTAAAATAGTCTAAGATTCCAGATTCCATTTTTGTTCCTTTATTGCTTCTGAAAGGTAGAAGATAAATAAGGGGAATTACTCTCTCTAGAATCAGCTGGGATTTGTCATTATTGTCCCATTTAATTTGTAGTTATTTGCCTGTTTTCAGGCAAATATTTGTAATTATTTAATTATTTGTTATTATGCTTTTTATGACATGGACACTCTAAGAGGAATAAACATTTTTTTAACTGTGGCCAAGACTTCACAGAAGATGGGCTATCCTCTGAGGAAATGACACTGGAAATCATCTTTCCTCCTTCCGAGTCTTGTCCTTTACCACAGGATGATAAACTCATTAGAATCGTGGTTAATGAAAGGGAGACATTGTCAGTTGTCAAATTCATGGTGAAGTACCATGTGAAAGGTTCCCTCTGACTAGGAATATATTAATATTATTCAGGGTTATTCCATGTTTGACTGTACTTCATGACCATGTGAGGTGATAAAATCAGTCATAATTATAAAAGATACATTACAAACAATTTAGGAATATCACAGTGGAGATGAGTAAAGGTTAAAATAACTCATACGTTATGATATTTAACTAATAATTTTTGCTTTTTTTTCTTCTGTTTCTTCCTCACCTACTTGAGTGCTGTGAAGGGCTGCACATTTTTCAGTAAAGAAGAAAATAAGCTAAAATATCACTCATGTTAATGCTTTTGTTATTATGTGCAGGATGATGTTGAATACTTGAACATTGGTTGGATAGATGAAGCATTAAGTATAATGTCTATTAATCTTTCTTTGTTATACATTTGAAGTTTTATTATGAAATTTCAATTGTGTTTTACAAACAGCAACCCAATAAACCAATTCTCACTACCTTACGTTTATATTGAAACATAGTAGTTGAAAGAATGAAAGGGAAAAACATTTTTACTCTTATATTTTATCCTAGATATTTTCTTATCTGTATCCATTTGTTTGAATATTTGCTCCCTCCTCTCCTCACTAATGTACAGAGAAATACACTATTTTGATTGAAAATTCATTTATGAATTAAAACAGCTTTAGTAATCTGGAGAGAGTTCTCAAGAACCACAACATTAGCTTTCTCACCAAACAGACGAGTTTGGTCCTCAACAGAGTTTCCATGCATTCTTGGGAGTCACGATTTTCATCACTGAGAGCTGATGCTTTCTTATCCTTGATTCCAAACACTTACTTCTCCAAATTTCAAAAGTACCATCTTAAAAGCATCAATGTCACTTAGAATTGATTCTCAGAATGTTTCTGAATCTCTGCCACTTTCTTCCGCCTGGGGACACTTACTGAGACTCCTTTGATGGCTTTGGGCTTTTCTGAGTTCTGAGATGGAAGAATGAGACCACTTTTTGTTCCCATGGGTAAAACTTCCTTTTATTTTCAGCTAAATAGAGCTATCGTTATTGGCGAGTGAAGTCTCTCTGCTAGTATTTCAGACAGATGTCAATTTCTGAATGTAAAATATGTTTTGGTCTTATAAAAAGTAAAAGATTCAGCAAAAGCAAGTCAATAAAACCTCAAAAATATTTTTAATGAAAGTGTTTTGACATTAATTGTTGGAAAAAAAAAAAAGAAAAAAGTTACTATGAATTCACATTTATCCAGACTGCACAATTAAGATTGTCTCTTTGGTTTGGTGCCATAATGAATAATCAAGATTATAACAGAACTTTTTATTTGATTTTTATTTTGATTTGGAACATAATTTATGATCATTCAAAAGAAAATCCTGTGTGAATTTTCTTTAATCTTCTATTTCAATTCCTAAACTAATGAAAAGAAATGTTACTTAAAAGAAAATATTCTTACATCAAGACTATTAAGTGACTCATTTAAAGCACTTGAACTGACTGCTAAGAATATCATGTACTTTCACATGATTTGAATTTTTTCCAAATCTAAATCTACCCTTAAGTTGCTTTAAAATATAAATTGAATGGAGCAAAATTGTCTTGCAAGAATCTATAAACTATCTGTTACATGCCTTAAAAAGAGGAAATTTCTTTCATTTGTCTATAAAATTTGTCTCTCTAACCCTACTAAAATAGACTCCAGATGTCCTTTGTTTGAAAACTATAGTCTATTAAATAGTTTGAGTAAATTTCCTAGTTCAGAGCTCAGTTTAGGGACTCAGTTACTTCAATCAGATCAATCTCAAAAGTTGTATCAAGTGCCAGAAAAATGAGAAATCCATCCATATATTCTCATCACACAATCATTAATCATAGACCCTTTCCCTAGCATCTTCTTGTATTTTTTCAAAATGAGACAAAAATAAGTATTTGTCTTTTCAGAATTTACCCCGCTGTTTTATAACTGAGTTCTGCAGGTCTGAGGATTTGGTTTCAGCAGATTCACCTTCCTGCTGTCTTTAATTTGACCCTTATTCTGTTTGAGAACAACAGCTACCCCCTTCTAAAACTCTAAAATCTTATAGTTGGAAAAGAATGGAGAATTGTGTAAATTTGTGAAAACGTTATAGACAAAAGAAGAATGTGAAGTGGTATAAAGTTAATCATGGAAATAAAAATGAAGCAGCCTTTTGTAAAACATTAAAAAAAAAAAAAAAGACCTATTTGATGACTAAGTTGGCTTGCAGGTGCAAACCCCCAACCCCAGGGGACTTCCAAGATTTACAGCCTGTTGACATCTCCAGACAGACAGGAAGCCAATGAATTGCATTTAAGTGTGCATTTCAGGACTGGCTGACTATACCTTAGGTGGCCTGAAGTATTCAAAAGCCAATATAAGCAGAGATTTCGGGCTTAGTGTTGATTTTGTATGTTCAATGGCATAGCTAATTTTCAGCATTCCCAGATAAAGAAAAATCTCCAGGGTGAGATTTTTTCCATGTGTGACTTTGTTACCAATTTTATTCAAGTCTATTCTAGTTTGTTAGTTTTGGATATGGAGTTGAGCCTGTTGTTACTCTAATAGTGCATTTATTATCATTTCACTTTGTAAAAAAGGCAAAACTTATGCAACCTGTTCCTAAAAGGTGGCATGAGTCCACCTACAACTACAGATTAAATCATATTTTCCAGTTGACCTAATATATACTTTCAAATAGAACATTTTCACTTATGATTGACTTTTAGTTGGCTGTGATTTCTAGTGTGTTAAGTTTGTCCAGACTCACTACCAAGTTCATGTTATTCTCTTAAGAACATTCAACATAGCCCACATTTATACCTTAATGGAACTAAGAACCCACAGTAGTCTAGAGAGATTAAAAAGGGTTTGGCTGCCAAGGTTCATCTGACAGTGAGTAGTAAAGCTGAGTTGATAACTTGATCTGGCAAGCTCTGGTCCTGAGATATTTCTGATATTCCCACAATTTTAGAAAAATTCCTTAAAAAAGCCTATAGCAAAGTTATATGTAAGGACTATAATAATAGTAATACCACTTTCCATCTTAATAACACCTTAATTTGAGTCCATTAACAATATCTCATTCTATGGTAGATTATTTTAAAAACACTGAAGACTGTGGCTTTAGAACCTCAGTGCTCCAGTTTCCTAGTTATGAAACTTTTATTAGGACAGATAATTTATCAAAAGTAATCTCAAAGGTTATGCCATGTGTCAGACACTGCTCTGGGGAAATATTTATTTTGAAGTGTTACTATTTTCAAAACCTGACTCTGATATTGTCTCCATCTTTAACAAATGTGTGTTCAAAATAGGAATTTCATCACAGCACTAATTGTTAAAGCTGGTAATGGTAAAATAAAGATGAGATTTACCACAGTTATTCATGTTATTGACTCACCAACATATTGCATGGAAGGTTTGTATTCATTTTTAGTATATCATCATGTCTGTGTTTATATATGGGCATGTATACATACAAAGCAGGTTTATGTGTTTTCCTTTGTGCTTGAAGGAGGCTAATTAGAAAACTTACCGTTTTAATACCAGTAAAAATTAACTTTGTTTTTAAAAGGCAGCAGTTTTCTATGGTGTTTATAATCAAATGTAATATATGAAAATTATATCATTAGAGGTTATGCATTATAATGATCTGGTATTTTTAAAAAGGTATGGTGTGGAACCTCCTGGTTTGATAAAATTGGAAAAAGAAATTGAACAAGAAGAAACACTTTCTGCCCCTTCTCCTTCACCTTCTCCTTCATCAAAGTCTTCTGGGAAAAAGAGTACAGGAAACTTACTGGATGATGCAGTAAGTAAATTGGTCAGACTTCTTGGACAAGTTAGTCTTTTTTATGTTGTTGTTTTTTAAATTACTCAACATATTTTGTAATAGCACATATCAATCTGACCTTACCTTATTTCACTGTCCTTGAAATCTATATTAACTTCTATGAAAAAGTTGGTAGTCCTACAATTCATTTCAAAATCCAGAACCAACTAATCATTTGAAATAAAGTGCTACTTAATTCTGTTGAGTAGCATTTAAAATTCTAGGAAAATAACTCCTTGAAAATGTCATTTGAAAACACTGAAGCCTCATTGTTACTAGTTTACCGGTCTGGTCCTCTTTTCACAGATCAAGAAGCCCCAGGCACAAAAGCTTGAGGATTGTTAAAGAAGGGGAAGAAAATGTATAATAGAGAAGATAACTGAGCTTTATTGACTGCCTGCTATTGGCCAGAGTCTATCCTTGTTTTTTTCAAGAGCTCTCTCCTATCTGAAATGCAGGTTTCCTAGTAAGGAAATGGAAACTTGGAAGCTTTATGGAACCTGCTGAGAGAAGAGGAGGAGCCTAGAATCTAAAACATTTTTATCTAACTCTCTGAGGTCTCTATAAACAGAGTTCTTGAATCACAGTTTTAGGCAGTTAGGAAATATTATTATATTACCCTCATAATCACAATAAACAGTATAAGAGAAAACAGATTGAATTAAAATCTCAAGCTACTCCTGTTGTCTGTTAAGTAGTTCTTAGTTATGATAAGATATTAGATCTATGTTTATGAATGTGCCCCCATTCACATATATTTTGAGTAAGGAAATTGAGAAACATTGTATTAATTAACGCATAATGGCGCATTGTTTATATATTGATGAGAATTACTTTCTGCCTGTCAATTTTAATTTTTGGTTTAGAATTACTGTGGGTTAATATGTCTCTTCAATCTTTTTCTTATAAATATGTGTCTCAGGGCTAAAATACTTAATTCTTATCCTCTCAGCTATGACCTACAATCATATTCTTTAATGAACAATAGTCAAGGTTCCAGACTGCTAAAGATTTCTGGTCAATGTTACCATATAAAGTCCAATGAATCAATTACTAGAATCAAATTACTTTTTCAGTGTTCACATCATGCTCTTTCTGACATTTGACACTGTTGATCATTTGGTTCTTGAAATTATTCTCTACAAATGTTCCTACAACTCAGAAACAGCTAAAATTATGTAAGTGTTCCCCCATAAGATCCATATTAAAGCCCAAGTTGATTCATACACCACCTATTCCCTCCCTACTGTGGCCCAATGTGTGTTTCCCAGTCATTTTGTCCTCTAGAGCAGGTCCTGTATTTTGATGTAGCCATTGTTACTTTTGCACTATTTTTCCTCCTCCTCTTTTAAATCTACTTTTTAATACTTTTTCATCATTCAAATTCACATTGTGTTACCTTCTCTGTAAATCTATTCTTGATATTTCTCATCCCAGGCAAAAATGACAAATCATTTCTTGTTGACTTAAGTATTTATATTTATTTAATGAGGCATTTACCTCTGGGGAATTCACACCCATTCTTCTCAAAGTGCAGTCCTGGTTTTTGAAGACAAGTAACATATTGTAATCTGAATCTTTTCAGTACCACATTTGTCGAATACATTATCCATTGTATGTAATTAAAATATAAAAATCTTCTTCTTTATTCTCTTTATCTGGTTTGTCCATGTGCTCTGGAGATATGTGAACTTTGTAGCTCTTCTGAAGCTCTGCAGAAGAAGACACTGTCACTTGAAGCCATTTGTGTGAACTAGGAGGAAGTAGCTGCAATGGTTCCCTTTTCTCCCTAGCTTATATCTAACTATCCTTTATTCTTGAGACAGGGAGAAAAAGGAAGAAGACCAGAAGGTAGTGAAATAACTATGAAAGACATTTGGGAGAAGGTTTGCCAGTATTCCACTTCTGAAAAATAAATAAATAAATAAACTGCTTCTTTCCCCCCCTATTCCAAATACTACTCTTTCCACTGGACAGAGTAGAAGACATTGTGAAAGGTTGTAAACCCTCTTTAAAGTTTACCGGTGTTTGAGAATTTAACAATTGGTTTAACTAAGGTGTTTTAATTGAATGCAAGAAATGTACAAAGTAGATATTTCTTTACTATTCCCGTCCAGAATAGAGGGTTCTGAAAGCCTTTAAACTACCATTTTTCAAGCATCATTTGAGGCCTAGTCAAGCACCACTACCACCACATGCCCCATGGAGAAAAGAATTCCATGTTTATGTTAGTTTGAGAAATACAACTTACTGTACTCTACACCTAGACTTTCGAAATGCACTTTGGCATGTTAGAAGCTCTTGTGAGTTCCAAAATAAGATCTTGTTTAACCTGGAATTTTCCAAATTCATTTGAACACCAAGTCTCTTACAGTCTCCTTCATTCTACGTTAGGGAAAACTGTATTGAATTATTTTCGTTTTGTTTAAAGTATAGCTTTTCACTGAAGTGTTTTATTTCAGGGATAGTGAAGCAGAGAGAAAAGTAATTTGAGCTTCACTAACGGTTTAAATCAGAATTTCATATGTTTAATATAAAAAGGAAATAGCTCCTATGACAGCTGCTTCACCCCATGTGAGGCATATACAGCAGCTGAGAGTTGAAACTGATGCACCCCAACATGTGTTTTAGAATAAGGATATAAAATAGAGATTGCTTGCAAAGTTCCTGTGTTTCGTTAGTTACAGACTTTTTGTACTCTGGCAAAGTTATTAACTACAACCACGAGGAAGAAAAGGAGGATAATGAAGTGCAGGAGTAAAAGAAGAAAGAAGGGAACAAAGAAATAAGAAAGAGAAGGACAGGGAAAGAAAGGAAGAGAAAGAAGACCTGTGTTAAGATTATTCCAGACAATGGTCTCAGTAATAAGTGTCAATTCTGAAACCTTCAATGATTCCTGGCATTTTCTTGTTCAATACTTAGGGGAATAGTGGGAGAAAAAAAAAGTAGGTGACCTTTTAGGGGGATAATACAGCCCACCTTCTTTAGCCAGAACATCATAAAAGAAACACAGTGAAGCCCCATTGAGATTAATTTATTCTCCAGATGTCCTGATAAAATGATTCAGTGGTGATAGAATGGCAGGGTCATGTTTAGTTCTCTTCTTTGCATTCCCTCGAGTTGAGCTAGTTCCCACACAATGAGTAGAATACAGTTCTAAGAAACCATTCTTACTTTCTTCCTCTTCTCCATCAACTTCCTCAGTCTGGGGATGAGAGATAGTATAATTCTGAGTAATCAGGCTCCTCTTGAAATCTCATTTCAGCAGAAATGGCTGGGTTTCTAAACCAAAAACAGAACACCTGCCAGACTCTGACTTATCCAAGGTAATGGAAGAAGCAAAGATGTCATCAGTCACTGTTTACTTAACAATATATTTCCACCGTCCACATCCTGGCCTTGTCTCTTCCATTTCTGCCCCCACCTCTTACACTACTAAAAAAACAAAAAACAAAAAACAAAACCTTGATTTTGAAAATAAAGTCCATTTTCAAAATGAGGAAGGCATTAGAGAAGGGCAGGCCACTTGAGAAAATGTTCCTTGTACTTTACTTCATTTGACACCAACAGTTTTGTCTAAGGACACTGTAAGATGGAAATGCTTCCCATACAGACTTGGGATTGTCATTTATTACCAGAGGAACCACTTGAATATCAGTTTACTGTTTTCTTAGTGAATTGCAAGCAGAACTGTGCTTATCATGATGCCTCTCAAGTTCAGGCCTGTGGCATTTTTGATGCTGTCTGATTTTCTTGGTGACCAAAGAACAAAGCTTCCTTCCCTTCCTCCCACCCTCCTTTTATTCATCCTTGCTTTTCTTATGAAAGCCCTATTGTAGGGATAAATAAAACTGTGCCACTTCTAAATATACATGTATATACATACACACACACATACACACAATATATATATATATTTATATATATTTATCATATATACCATAATTATATACACACATAATATATTTATTAAACACACATGGAAAGAGATATGCATAGAGAAACACTGAAAATTTCACATGTAGACATATTAATAGGTCCTATGACTGCCCCCCCTCATAAATCAGTGGGCTTCTGCATTCCTGCAAGGAAATGACATTACTATTACCAAACTTTCATACTTCTTGCGTTAGTATCACCATCCCATTCAAGAATATCCTTTAAGCAATTCTCTCAGGGCAGAATTCTGTTAATTCTAGGGTGATTGGGTGAGGTATAACATGGTGGGAAGAATTCAGAGTTCAGAAACACAGGTCTGATCACTAGCTTCATGTTAAGCACTTCCTTCATTTTTTTTAATATGAAAGTCATCTTTACAGTCCTTTGAATCCAGTCTTACTTTGTTCTAATAACTTCCCTTTGTGTTCTATATAGATCCATGTTCCTATTCATCTATTCATTTATGTTTTAAATATTAACTTATCAAACACATTTTATACCATTAATGCATTGTGATTTATACTGAGGATTTTAAAAATGCTATAAAATGCTACCCTTAACCCTTAAGGAACTCAATCTAGCAAGAACAAATTAAACTTTATCAGTAACTGAGATATAATACACAATTATTTTTTTAAAAAACTCAGAATAATAAGTTTATTTTTGGAAAATTAGAGATGGCTCAATGGATGGATGAAATGTGTATCCTAAAGTTGATTCTCTTGTTTTTTCCTAAAAAACAAACAAACAAAAAACTGGGTTTTTTTCCTTATTAGATTTTCGTTGAGGCACAATATATGGATCTTAAGATAAATTTTATTTTAGAACTACTTCACCCTTCTGGTTTTCCTTCTTTTGTTTTCATTATTTCTGGAAATTTGCTATAACAATATCAAGTTGTTCATTTACACCAACATGCAAGTGAGTTCATGTATGACTGTTGTACAGTTTTTGCTTGGTAAAAGACTGTCTGGAGTCAAATATTTTATTATTTGAAGAAATTGAAATTTTTTAATGACAAAATTCTAGGTACCATAGTTTTTGTTAAACTAATTATATTATTATCATAGAAAATGATAGCAACTAACATCTAAAGAATGATTATGAGCAAAATGTGAATGAAGTTTTGACACTGAAATATATTCTAGAGTAAGCAAACTGAAGTCTTACATAAGAAGACTCTATTTTCCTCTGTCATTTAAAAAAGTATTCTCAAAGTTTCATGGATTGTAAAAGGGAATGAAATTTGAAGAGATAAGAGTAAGATTTCCAGTGAGCCACAGGTGTCAGTAAGAACTCCCAATCAACATTTGTTTCATTTTAAAAAATTATTTATTTTATTTATAGCATTGTATGTATTTATCATGTATAACAGATGCTTTAAAATATATATGTATATATATGTGTATATGGTTAAATCTTACTAATTAACAAATCCAATATATTGCATATATATAATTTTGTTTAAACTTAATATGCATTCTTTGCATTTTTCATGAATACAGCATTCATCATTAACTGTAGTCACCAAATTGTACGTTGGATTCCTTGAATTTATTCCTCTGATCTTACTGTTAATTATATATCCTTTGACTAATATCTCCAAAGTTTTCCCAACCCTTTAATCTTCCCATTCTCTGGTAACCACCATCATACTGAAATTGATCTTTTAGGATCCATATATTAGCAATATTATGAGACATTTGTCTTTCTGTGCCTAGCTTATTTCAATTTTCAAATTATCATTGATCCTCCAAGTTCATTTCATCCATGTTTTTGAAAATGGCAGGATTCTCTTATAACTGAGTAATGTGCCATTGTTTATAAATACCATATTTTCATTTTTTATTTATTATCCATAGATGGTCATGTAGTTTCATTCCCCATCTTAGCTTTAAGAGTAATACTTTTTTTKTGTGTGTATATATATATGATGAATAATGACATTAATGTGTTATACAATAATTCTATGTTTGATATTTTGAGCAACCTCTGTACTCTCTTCCACAATGGCTATATATTCCAAGCACAGTGTGCAAAGTTCCCTTTCTATTTCTCTGACATTTTGTTAAAAAATTGGGTGAGAAAAATCCAGCCCAGTTTGGTCAGAATCTGAATTTGTTCTGTTTAGCTTCTGCACATCATTTATAGCTTTCTGAGTCTTCCTTGGAAACTTTTCCTCTAAACAAAGATTATTGTGTTAGGTTTGCTTGGTTAGTTTGAGGGAATACAGTTATGTGACACAGAATTGAAAAGTCCCAGAAAATAAAACGTAAGTCTTAATTCTTAAATCACAGACTATTATATCATCTTCTGATGGTAACAATTATTATAAACATTGTGCACATACAATTTAGATTATATAGTTTTCAACAGTGGGGATAAGACACACTAGATATAAAACTCTGATATTCAGCCGAATATTCCATAAAATGTGTGTAAATCTAAGATATGGCCATAGAAGTCCGATTTGTAGGTAGGAATTACTAAAAAGGCATGAACTGCAGAGTGAATCTAGGTGAATCTGAGATGTCAGAAAATCTTATATAGAGTTCAAAATAAGATGAAGAAAAATAGCCTCATTTTAAATAATAATTTATTGTTAATTTATTGAAAGTGAGTAAAACAGTATAATAAGATTATACTGTGGAAATAACTTTCTGTTTATATGTATTCTGTCCGTGTTTTCAATATGTTTAACCTAGAATCACTCTAGTGTTGTTTCCAATAGATTCATCTTGTCAACCCAATACTCATGGTCTTTTAAATCTGGAAAATAATAGAACACAACTCATCATAACTATGGTGCCAATTAATTTTCTCATCATTATCCTCCAACATCATCACTCTTCTCATCTGACCTATAGCTCAGTGCACTCTAGACTTTCAGGATCTGATCTTTGCATAGTTGTGGTTTAAAGTGTATTGGTGTGCTCACATTCTGTCCATAGATTAAAAAATGAGTTTCAATTTATTAATTGCCCAGGAGCTTTGAAGCTTTTGAAAAAAATGTAATCTATATGCAACCCTACTAAGAAGAATGAACTTCTTGCTTATTTTTTTTCCCCAGGTGAAACGAATTTCAGAAGATCCTCCTTGCAAATGCCCAAACAAGTTCTGTGTGGAGCGACTTTCTCAAGGAAGATACCGAGTAGGAGAAAAGATTCTCTTCATTAGGGTAAACTTTTACTTATTATCCTGTTCTGTATGAGAATATTCAAAACTTGAGTTGAAGGAACATGACAGGGGAAAACAACAAGTGAGTAGGAGCTTTTAGAAAGTGCTCATAGTTGGAATGAAGATGCAAGGTATGAACATTTTTAAAAGTAATATCCATGATAATGTACTGCTGAGGGCTAAATAATAAAATAATCTGTATTTTTTCACATATATGCAAATACACAGAGATAATAGAGACAAAATATCATCAAAAATATTACTATTTTATTTAATGATATTGTTTCAAAGGAACAACTACTCTATCTTTGACGTGAGAAATAGAAACAGTATTCTTCCATATCTCATATAATGGAAGTGATGATCGTATCGGTGCTGAGTATCTTCAAGTGATTTCAACACGACTTTTCTGGAAGTCTGGGTTACGGATCAAAGGAAAAAAAAAAAACAAATGCTGAGTATAGTGGCATGATTTGGTAGTGATGGCCATGTCTTACTTTGTTTTCTGAGTCTGAATGAAAGACTGGTGCTAATCTCTGTCCATTTTACAATGATCCCAGTTAAAATCATGGACAGTTATAACTTGTAATGGTGACTAAGTAAGGAAACTTTTCAGATCTTTCATTTGGAACATGTTTGGCTAGTATTCAAAAGATTATTGCTAATCTCACAACGTCTGTGGTTTTTGCCAAGTATGCCTCCTTTTAAAAAAAAATACAGCACTGATATAGTCCCAGAAATATTAAGTTAATAAAAGTATTCTTCTGCTTATTTTTAGCCATTTTCTAAAGAACAGAGCTTATGATTCAAAGGARCTGTACTCTACTCTCATTTCTATAAAGTGAAAATATCTTGCTTGCTGTTTTGTAGAGCACAGTGATTTGAATATGTGCATCTAGTACAATCAATGAACATTTTTAAAATACTCATATATGTGATGGCCCAATAGAAATTTTGTCAGTGGATTTTTTTTTATTTCAAGCTTTAACTGAAACTTATTTGTATGACAGTGTGCGACATTTATTTAATGAAAAGTTTTTTCAAAATTTAGCCTTAAAATATAATGTCATTTTGTATTTTAACCTGATTTTAGGTGAGTGGTTACTGATTTATTTTTTTTAATTTATAGGAAAATGCTTTTCTGCCTTGGAATGGTAACAAAAGGGATTTAACAATATGTTATTATGGGAGGTTTGAGAATAAATCTGGATGTATGGCCTCACTAGGAAACAGAGTTGCCTGAGTGGCTTATTGTCCTTTTGTTCTTCACTGCAAGGAAAAGATGCATTTTATTTTCTTCTTMTTATTATTATTTTTTAGTCAAGCTACCTGCTTTCACTTTACCACATTAAGTAGTGATGATTTAGAATCTCCATGGATGTGTTAAAATTTTATCAGGCTAGCCTTTCTCAGTTGAGAATCAATTTCCATTAGAATATAAGGCCCCATAGCCTAGAATCAAAGCAGAAGGCTTTATTTATTTAAAGAATTGTTCCTTTTTATAATAGAAATGTTGATAAAACCCATGATGTATAAATTTGACACATTTCCTTCTAAGGTAAACTAATATTTTCAGGCAAAATTTGTGTCTCATTTTCCATATTTGTTCATTTGTCAAAGAATTTAATATTCATAAGCATGAATAACATTCTTTTATAGTATTTAATATGTGAGGGTCTTTGTTTTTTGCTTTCCATTTTTCTTTTTAGGAAATGGTATCCTTTTGTTGAATTCTTGTCATGTATATTATGGAGGAATTGAAATTTGCATTAGTGAAAAAAAGCATATCAAATTTCTTGGCAATAGCATTTTAATTTAATATCAGTAAACAATTCAGAACGTATTGTGTATGCTCAATTTCATGCTTCCAATATTCCAGACAAGCCTGTAGTAAGAGTTATACATTATGTGGCTATTCAGGTTGTCCCAAAAAGTTATACTATCAGGCTGTCACAAGTTTGAGAATAGTGTTTTAATGAATTTTAGTGATTCATTTTCTTAACTTTTGTACTGTCCACATACAGTTTTATTTTTATAACAAATTTCTTGTGAAATAGACCCTTTTTTAAAACCTTGATTTTTTTTTAAAGAAAGCATTTTATCACTGCTTAAATTAGAAACCAAGACTATCTGTCAAAAATGAAAAATCTCCATGAACACATATCCATTGATATTTCTAGCCTTTTGATTGCTGAGTCCATTTCCACCCTGGTGAAGGAAAGAGATTATTAAAAAAAAAAAGTTTCTCCTTGTCTCTGATTATCCTCAGAGGATTAGGAATTAAAATTTCATAAGCAGGTGACATATGCCTTTTAGTACATATTTTATCCCTGTTTCCTCCTCTGTGTTAACTATGCTGACTAAAAATGTGTTATTGATATGAACATAATTTGCTTAGTACTTTCAATTTGTTTCAGATAGAAAATTTAATTGTTGGTAATTCTGCAGTTCTTACTCAAAACAAAACAAAACAAAAACCTCAGTTATTGAAATTGTTTTCAAATGATCTTATGGTTGTTGTTGCTACTCTTTTGATTATTTTTCTTTTGAGTGCATGGGTTAAATAGTAATTGCCCATAGTGAAATTCTTAACACATACTAGGAGAATGAACAACTCACCATGGCTTTGTTACAATCATTATATATATATATATATATATATATATATATATATATATATATATATTATCTGAAATATGAATTGATGAATCTCAGACCTAATGTCTTAAGTTCTGGGAGGACAGAAGTAACATTCTTCTGTTTATTCAATCAGTTGGTGTTTTCCCAGGCTTTAAGTATCAAGACAGTTGGCAACACAAATCTGCATAAGCTTGTGGGCAGGTATTACAGAAATATGTCTTGGAAGCCACAAAAATGTGTATTTGACTTGTCTCAAATTTGATGACATGAGAGTGTGTATATAATCTATCTGTGATCTTTAAAGTGGTCCCCAGATGACCAGCATCAGCATCATCTGGGAAATTGTTAGACATGCAGATTCTTGAGTCTCCTCCAAGACCAACTGAATCAGAAACTCCAAGGTTAGGGCCCAGCCACCTGTGTTTTCACAAGTCCTTAGGGTGATTCTGATAAGTGCTGAAGTTTGAAAACCACTACTTTTAGAACCAAAAAAACTACACAGCAGGAGATTCATTGTACTGTGACACAATAAGAAATCACTTGCATGTCTGATCCTGAAACAATATTACTTTCAAGGTACTGAAAATGATCAGTTTTAAGGATTTTTTTTTTTATAAATTGTTGTCAGGAAATGTTTAAGATAAAATGTTACATGGAAAAATAGACATTTAAAATATCTTTATATATAAAGTAGCTTTTGTAGAAATAGCATTACAATTAAGATTTGAACAAGAGTATTTGAACACAGATTTAATTGTTGATCAAATAGAAATTATGAGTGAAAAAGCTTTTGTTCTGCATTTATTTCTAATGATATTAAAAATATGAACTAAGAGGAGTCAGTAATCTGAGAGAATCACAAATTTGAGAACAAAAGGTCCTCTGAAAGTTGTCAGATTAATTAGTTGGTTGCTCATTTTAATGGTGCTATTATTGTGAACCTTCCCATTTTCTAGAAAAGTGTAGGAAGGTTTGTTAGAGCTTTGATTTTAGTAGGCCAGTATTTAAGGAGGATTTTGAGTTTTCTTGTGAAACTAAGCACATTTTTCTTTGGATGAAGCTCTTACCTTTCCTTTACTGGTTCATCTCTGCACTTTGAAAACTCTCTGTGCTGTTGAAGATTAGCACTCTGAAGCCTGCAAACATAGATCACTGTCTGGATAATGTGTTTCTCTTTGCAGACCTCATCAGAGAGTCCCATATTCACCTTTCTCCCTATTAATCACTAAAGCTTTAAATGTTTGTCGACCTATGCCCATAAGGATCAGTATTTAGTGGCACAAAAACAACCTAATATAATAATGCAGGGAATGGAAGTGAATGACTCTACTGAACGGAACTTCCATGGGATAAATTCTTCATACTTCTCTAAGTTGCTCTCACATTACCATAGCAGGACTTTCCGGCAAAAGAGCTGTCAGTGGGTTAATGTGTTGGGAGGTAGCTACGTTTTTGTGTCACTTGATTGTCTAATTAATGTGATGAATATTTTTCTATGTAAAAACAACTTAGCATTATCCTAATATTATACTTCAAGTATTTCTCAGAAAAATAACAATTTCAAAAGATATTCAAGACATTATTTGTAAAGATTAGTTGATATGGTAAAGAGTTTCAATGGGCCTCTGAATGACGTTTATTACTAACTATCTTAGTCTTTCTGACATATCTCAGTATAACCTCTTATTCCAGGCAGGGGGATACTTTTAACATTCCCATATTACAGTTAAGAAAGATGAGGCAGAAAATTAAGTAACGTCCCAAAATTATAAGCTAATGAGTGCCTGAATTGGGGTTCAAGTCCTGACAGCTTAGCTCTGAGTGTATGTTCTTTACCACTAAATAATACTGATTTCTTTGCCTAAATTTTCTGGGAAGGTTCAGTATACTAATGTGATTTGTAAGCTCCTGGAGAGAATGGTATTGTGTAGCATTTTCCCAAGGTATTTAATGACAGAAATTGTTCCTTCCTATATATCTTTTTTTCCAGAACATTATTCTGGAATAGGTGGTCATGAAAATAGCAAACTTTAAAAATAATTTGTAACAGTATTATATTGAAATTAAAGTTTTCTATGTCCTGCTTGGTACAGTTAGAATCCATGTATTTTAAGATACTAATCAGGAATATTGAATTTGAACTCCTTTTTTTGACTTCATGTTCCATTTGGAAGTTCCATTACATGGAAGATGACTAAAATTTAATAAGAGTCATATATCACACATTTTACCAGGTACTTTATATACATTATCTGACAAAATCCTTTCTACATACATCTGGCAAATTGCTTTTGTTACAGATTTAAAAAATTGAGTCTTAAAGAGTCTAAGAACTTAAGTAAGTGGTATGATGAGTAAAAT